AAGTATAGAGTTATCATCAAAATCTATCAAAATTGGGTACTAACAGTAACTACGTTGGATCCGTTGCGTTCGTGCTAGAGAATGGGATAAGGGGTGAGTTGTGAGCAGCGAGCTAAAGGAGAAGGGGGTGCGCGTTGGCGACAATGAGCTTTGTGCGAAGCCAGATCGAAGAAACAAGCGAGATTGAAGAAGCTTGATGCGAAGCTTGGTGCGAAGCCATATTGAAGAAGTCTTATGTGAAGCCAGAATGAAGAAGTGCATAAGCCAAGAAAAGTCTGGTTGTACCGAGCGCATGGTACAACCGACTGTAAGATATAATTTAAGGCATCTCCAACTCTCCATTCACGGTTTATTTGAAGATTAATCGAATGACGTGTAAGATTATGACGTGAGAAGTACTTCGTATTACGGAGTGTTTTGGAAGATTATTCAGAAAGAGAATCTGGGATGTTGCAAAAAAAGAGACTCTCGGATCGATTTAAACCTAGATAATTATTTTAGATTGTAATAATTAAAATAAATTTAATGGGATGTACATTTAAAACAGTACTTCTTCCATTCTGTATTAATTGTGACATTTCCGTTTTCACACTTGTCAATGCATAACTTTAACAGTCATCATATTTGATTCTCTATTAGTAAAAAATATTTAAAAATTAGATAATGAAATTTTGTAATGAGACGAATTCAACAATATTTTTCACAAAAAATAATTCTTATACATTATTAAATAAAATGTAGTCAAAGTAGAGTATGTGGATAGTGTAAAATTTTCTATGTTACAACTACAAAATTTTCAACTTTGAGATTATTCAAAAGTTATTGAGTGAGTATGATGTGACAATGACGTGAAAGATAAAAGAATATTTATTCACAAGCATGAACGGAGATGCATTAATCGAGTTTTTGTCAAGGCACCAAATTATGTAATGCATAGGCGCATATAGCGGAGAGGAGTAGCTAGGGTTTCCTGGTATGCGAAGAGTTTTGGGTTCGGCGGTCTCCACTGTCTTGCAAACTGCAAGCAGGCAATTGAAGAGGATTTTCCAACCTTTGACGTAAGGAAAGTGCAAAGTAGATCGGTGGTGCTCGTACAACTTCGGCGTGACACGAAAAGTTACAGACGAAGGTCGCAAGAAGCGAGCGGCAAGTAGCGTCTAGCAGAGCGAAGAGGATCCTAGCGACACGGCAACGGTTTCGCCGATCGCAAGAAGCCATGGGAGTTTTCAGTGGGTGGTGGCCGTGGGCTTGCGTCGGCTAGGGTTGCGAGGACTGATTGTCCGATGCTTGGTTTGGTCATTTTGACTTTATTGGCGACTGAGATAGCAGTTGCACCAGTTTTGTTTGATCCGGGTAGAAAACTGGTGGCTTCGGATCCACGGTAAAAGCGGCAAATTTAGGCTCTAGTAGGCTGTTTGGGGATCAACGCGGTTATTTTGACCAACTGAGTGGGTGGCCGCATGGGGTTGCTTGTTGGCCGTGAAAGGCAAAGCTCAAATTGCGAAGAATAGATTGCTGATGTGGTATGAAGAATTTCCGAGTCAGGTGATGGAGGAAGACGAAGAAGGTATGAGGATGATCCATCCCCCTCCAAAACCGCCTCCTGCCATGCAATTGAAGAATGGGCAAGAGGATTAGGAAGGGGTGGAAGCAGGAGAATTCCATCAATTGAGTTTTACTTTTTTTTTTTCAGATTGAACTTGCTTGTTTATTGAGTTGTTATTTTTGCGTACAATAGTAGAGGAGGGTGTGTGTGTTGGTTTTTTTGGTAGGTAGAAATCTTGTTGCAGGCAATCAGACCGACTCAGCTGCTAATAGCCTCTATGCTCTCATTGTTTCAGCGATTAGTCTCACTATTTTCGGGGTGGACTATTCTATGTCTGATGATGACGTGAGGGGGCTCTTCGGCTTTTGGTATAGGTTGGAAAGAGGGAGATTTAGATCTTGGGACATGATTTTTACCTTGTTCGGTTGATTTTAATATAAGCTATTTCCTTTCAAAAATAAGAATTTTTGTCACTTTTAGTCCTATGACTTTATTAGTTAGTGACATATTTGGTACTTATTTTTGACTTTTTTACTTTTAGTCCTTCGATTATTGTCTTTGAAATTATTCATATATATTCCTTTAAATTTCATAAAAGGGATACATTCGGTATTTCAACTATTATTATAGATACATTTATAGTCATCAACATACTAGAAGGACTAAAAGTGGCAATTTAATAATACTCAAGGATCAAATGTGGAGACTTTGAAGTCAGATAACTAAAATTGTCTTTTAAACAATAGTCAAAGGACTAAAACTGAAAAATTAAAAGTCGGGTATCGCAAGTGTCACAGACATAATACTCGGGAGAGTAAAAATGCCAAAAACTCATTTCCACAAGTAATAAGTAAAAATGTGTCTTCGTTGAAATTATTCACATTTATTTTTGATGGATAGTCTACCCGGGGGTATATATCCGAAGGGTTATTACGGGGAATAACTTAGAGAGAAGTCAGAGCAAGTAAGTGAAAGTAGAGAGAGAGAGTGTATTCAGTATGAATGCCGTTTTCAGCGTGGTTACAAATGAGGAAATGGGGTGCTATTTATAGTAGCAATAAATGCCGGGCAGGGACACGTGTCAAGCGCTCATTGGACGAGGGGTCACCTCAACTGGTTGGCGCTGGCAGCCGCATGTGGCCGCATTTAATGCGGCTGTTGGATGGGACGTCTGTGCGGGGTACGGTGATCTGTACGCATGTGAGACGGATATCTTGTCGAGTGAGATGCCTTCGGCTATAGAGCAGTAGCCGAGGGCTCTTCCACCCGATGGCACCCTGGTGTCGAGGGCTCACAGTGCCGAGGGCTACTGTTTTCGCCGTTTTCTCCCAGTTTCTTAATTTGCTTGAGAAACCCGTTCTGTGAGAATTTAGAGCCTTCGGCCAGGGGGCCGAAGGCACCCCTGGCGCGTAGTGCGGGCTGCTTGGTACTCTGGGCGCTGTGATTTGGGCCTGTTGGACCTTCTGGGCCTGTTGGGCCTCTAAAGGAGTAGTAGGAGTCTGTGGGCCGGGTGTTCCCGGGCCATATACTCCATCAGGAGTCCCTCACTCCTTTTGCCGAAAGGTACTTGAGGGAAAAGGAGTAGTTTGTGCTTGCCCTTTGATGTTGTCCCGTCGTGATCTCTGAAGTTGGTGAGGAGTTGTTGCTTTTATGTCCCTGCCGAAGGCAGTCCCTCAGTTACCCACATGTCGGGACTTGAGGGCTTGCCTTGTCGTTTGTTGGAATTTCACTAATTTTGTAATTTAATGATTTTCCCGAGGGGGTCCTCCAGTCCCCCACTCCTTGAGGCACTTGTAAAGTGGTGAAAAGGAGTAGAGTAGTTGCGTTGCTGTTGTGGGGCGAAGGCTGACGTTTTTCGTTTCATTTTGGGGGGATGCCTCGTTAAAAACCTCATTAGGAAAAACCCTTTGGGAAAAAAATCCTAATGAGGGAAAAAGAGTGCACCGAATTCCCCCAATGATGAATCGAAAATGTCAAACCTTGGTAAAAAATGGAGAATGACGGGAATGCCGAAGGCTCTCTCTTCTGAGGGCTCCTGTGTTGATTAGCCGAAGGCTTGCTGTTGATGTCCCGGTGGCGCCGAAGGGGAGCCCCTCAATTCGGGGATCGAGGGCCTGCTGGATGAGGGCGGCAATGGAGTTGTTACTGGGGGGTCCACTGTTTGTTGATTAGTTGGTGATGAAGATACCCGAGGGCTCCCATTACCTGTGTGCCAGGGGTCATCCGTCAATGAGGTAACTCCCCGGGGGCTACCCGGTTTTGCAGTGCTGAGGGGGAATCCCCGAGGGGTGCCCTGATATGAAGCCCTGGGTTTCTGAAGGAGTGATCCCGAAGGCGTCTGTTATGTGCTGTGTGGGGCACAACCCGGGGGCACTTCTGAGTGAGTGTACCCGGAGGCTATCCTTGATGAAGTGGAGTGAAGTAGAAAACCCGGGGGCTTCCAGAATATAGCCGTTGGAAATATAGCCGTTGGAATATGTAACGACAGGATATAGCCGTTGGGGGGGTGGCACACGTGGCGTGTGATGGCTGGGTGTTCGTGGGCGGCGTCACCGGTTGGGTGAAACGACGGTGCGTAATGATGGCTTTGGCTGCTGGGAGCCCGGATCTCGGCCCAAGCCCGGATCTGGGAGCCTATAAATACCCCAAGCCAGGGCCATTCCTCCTTTACGCATCCACATCTGTAGCGAAGCTCTGCAAAAAATTCTAGAGAGAGAAACTCAAGCTTTCGGTCAAAAACTCAGCTTTCAGAGGTCAGTTCTCCTTCCGCCCTTAGCTCCATTTGAGTATTTCTTTTGGCCTTAGGGTTAGTCTTTAGGACCCTTCAGGAACCCCCCCTTCGTACGAGTTTTCCGACCCCTCGCCTTTTAGAAAGATGTCGTCAGCTAGTGATTCCCAAGACATCTCCGGGGAGGCTTTAGTGAACGTTGAAGTGCCGTCTGACGTGGAATCCTCGAGCGAGCAGCTCTCGGCCATTGATGATAGGGCCGTAGCCGAGGCGGTACAGAGTGACCTTCAACTTGAGCTTGAGGCCGAAGACTTCGAGCAGGTGAACGCGGATGAGGAGCTTGCCATCGCCTGTCAAGTGGCCGAGGACGAGGCCCAGAAGGAGGGCCTGAAGGTGACTGTAGCTATCCCTCCCCCTCGGTATGGTACTGAAGCTGGGAGCTCCCGGCCCATAGATGCTGTACCCCTCAGTGTGGCCCCAGGACAGAAGAGAAAGAAGGCGAGGGTGGCTCCGAAGAAGAAGCAAGCTGTCGTCGACGCTGGCCAGCCACTGGGACTCCCCGAGGGCTATTCTTTCCTGAATACGGCCGCCTTGGAGGTCAAGAATAAAGCTACCCGAGGGGAAATGATGGCGGTGCAATTTTTGGTAGGGCCTTCGGCGCAAGTGGTAGAGCCAAAGCCGGATGACGTGCTCTTTCGTGCCCCCGACGGCTGCTTTGCCTTGCATCTGCTTTCGGTGGAGCTGGGTCTCAGGTTTCCCTTTCATCCTTTTGTGTTGGAGTACCTCCGTTTTGTAAAGCTAGCCCCCTGCCAGTTGACCCCGAACAGTCACTCATATATGGCAGGGTTCCTGTCACTGTGCCTAAGCCGAAGGGTCCCCCCTACTCTGGAGCAATTCTTCCTGTCATTCAACTTATGCCGGGGGGGGGCATTCGAACGCCGGGGGCTATGGTAATCTGCAGCAACTCCCGAAGTTCAGGATCTTTGATGAGGCGCCTTCGTCTCACAAGGGGTGGAAAGACAAGTTTTGCTATATCCGGTTGGCCGAGAACCCCTTCTCCGCTCCGCTTGGCGACAGGTTTCGGTGGCACCCAAAGGCAGAAGGGTATGCCCTCGAAAAGAATGGGCAGGTGTTGTCCAAGAAGCCGGAGGGTTCCGATAAACATGTGTCCATCAAAGGCGCAACGCTCTCCAGTGAGTTGTACAAGCTTGGCTTCCGTCGGTACCGGCTGATGGGGGAGAAGGAGGAAGGCTACCCCCTGATTGACCGCGTATATGAGAGTGCTGAAGGTTGTTGTAATGCCGAAGGCTTTATTTCTCATGCTTAGAAAATTTTCTTCCCCCTTTATATTTTTTGCTTTGCTGTAATAGTGAACTAACCCTTGTGTGCCTTCTTGTGTTTCAGGACCAGATATGGACGCTCGGAACCTGGTCAAGCTGAAGCGGCAACTTGCCCGAGAGGAGCAGAAGAAGGAGGCCCCCGCACAGCAGAGGGCGGTCGATGAGATCTTCCCCAAGGCGGGAGCGGCCGAAGAGGCCAAGGAGGCGGGGCCCGTATCGGAGGCCGCCGTCGGGGGCTCCCCCGGTCTGGAGCTGAAGAGAAAAAGGCATGGGAAGGACCCGGCACAACCGGAGGGGAAGAAGAAGAAGAAGAAGAAGGGGGCCCCGGAGTCGAAGGAAGCCCCCGTTGTGGTCGTAGAAGAATCTTCTCCTCCCAAGCCTTCGGGTCAGGCAACTGATCTGACATGGCCCCTGGACAAAGTCCAATTTTCCATTACGAAGGAGACTGCTATCATGCACGGGACCCTGAACCCGAAGGAGTTTTTGAGGGGTGCCACCCCTCCGACCGATAAGTCCGTGCTCTCCCGTCAGGCCGACGATGTCCTCTGCTCCAAGGTTCTGATGGCCTCGGTTACGGTAAGTTTCCTTCCCCCTCTTTTGTAGATAGCTTCATTCTTTACATGAGTAGTGGCTAACCCTCCGGTAATTCATGTCTGCTTTCAGGCGAGCCTTGGCCTTGGCGAGCTGGTCCAGAGGATAGAACAGCATGACTCAGAGAAGAAGAAGGCCGCTGAAGCACTGGCCGAGGCCCGAAGGCAGCTCAAGGAGGTCGAGGACGCTCGCAAAGCTGAGCAAGAGGCTTTCAAAGACATCCTCGAGGGCTCCAAGACGGTGGCCAGGGCCGAAGGTAAAGCAGAGGCGGAGAAGGCTGCGGCAGATGCTGCCAAGAAAGCTGCGGAGGATGCCGAGGAGGCCCGGATCAAAGCTGTCGTCGAAGCCCGGGAGGAGGCTGTTGCTACTTTTTCCGAGGAGGGATGGAAAGCCGAAGGTCGGCAAAAATGGGTGGCTTCGGTGGTGGAAGCTTCGGTGGACGAATGGGTGAAAGGCCCAGGCGCCATGTGGTTGGCCCGAAAGGGGAAGGAATATTATGACAGGAGTGAGTACTTTACTCAGGCCCTCGTATATCGAAGGTTGTCCCGGCATTTTGGGGTGGACCCGAAGGCCTTTGATCCGGCATCCTATGGCCTTCCTCCCCTTCAGCCAGACCCCAGGGTTCCCCTCCCTGAAGGTGTTGCGAGGCCTGACTTGGAAGACTCCCTGCTGATGGCCGAGGGCAGTGACGAAGAGGAGGAGATTGGTGATGATGCCGTGTCCAAGCCTGCAGTAGAGGACGCCTCCGGCAATGCCGTCAAAATTGTTGAGTAATTTTGTACTTAGGAATGTGTGAACATATTTTGTAATGAACAACATTTATCCTTCGGCTTCGGCCTGTTTGTAATTTTACACTCACTCCTGTTTTTGATGAATGCATGCTGCCTCCGGGCTTTTCACCTTTGAATGCGCCCTGTGTTTTGAATGTATGCCTTCTCCTTTTTGAGTGTATGCCTTCTCCTTTGAACGTATGTTTTAGAACTTAGAATTTTTTCTGATTGTAGCCTGCCCTTGGAAGCCTTCAGTAGTTGGGCACCCCCTGCTGGATAGGCAACCGAGGGTTCAGCAGGAATTGGGACTTAGAAAATTTTTCTAAGTGTAGCACACCATAGGGAGCCTTCGGGAGTTGGCATCCCTTCCTGATGTGTGAATATTGGACCGAGGGCCCAATGTACAGGACTTAGATTTTTTTTTTTGCAAGTGTAGTATGTCACGTAGCCTTCGGCTACTGTGGAGCCTCCACTGAAATATTGAGTAGGCCGGGGGCCAATTCTTTAGGACTTAGGAAATTTTCTTGAGTGTTGATTCCTTGTGTACTGTAGCCTTCGATTGATAGGCAGCCTTCAGCAATTAGGTCCCTTGAGATGAGGGTGAAATATGTAGGACTTAGAAAATCTTCTAAGTGTAGAGTTTCCCTTGGGAGCCTTCGGGAGATGGCATCCCTCCATGATGTATGAGTAGCTGACCGGGGGGAAATATGCAGGACTTAGAAAATATTCTAAGTGTAGATTTTCCCTTGGGAGCCTTCGGGAGATGGCCTCCCTCCTTGATGTATGAGTAGTTGACCGGGGAAAAACATGTAGGACTTTAGAAAATATTCTAAATGTAGATTTTCCCTTGGGAGCCTTCGGGAGATGGCATCCCTTCTTGATGTATGAGTAGTTGACCGGGGGAAAAATATGTAGGACTTAGAAGATATTCTAAGTGTAGATTTTTCCTTGGGAGCCTTCGGGTGATAGGTGCCCTCTGACTCCACATCACTTTGCCAGATGCCCGGGGGCTGCTCATTTAGGACAGAATATATTTTTTCAAGTGTTGTTGTATTGCATGACCTTCGGCTACCATATTCCCTTGGCTGTAATGCTGATTGGGCCGGGGGCCCAATCTTTAGGACTTAGAATTTTTTCAAGTGCTGCTTCCTTGTGTAGCCTTCGGGTGATAGGTGCCCTCTGACTCTGCATTACTTTACGAGATGCCTGGGGGCTACTCCTTTAGGACTTAGAATATTTTCTAAGCGTAAATTGGTGTTGAGCTTCCGGATGTAGATCCCTTGTGTTGTATGAGTCTCTGGCCGAGGGCCAAATATGTGTGGAATCCTGTTGTTGTAAAGAATGCCAATGATGAGTGTGTGCCCTCGGCATACACTTTAAAAGTTGTAGATTTCGACCCTTGCTGGAGCCTTCGGTGCTTGTGTGATCGGAGGTGACCAGGCAGTGGACTTAGCCGTTTCCTGATGATATTTGTTTGAGTGGTATCCTTCGGGAAATAGGAGCCTTCAATTACCGGAGGTGTCCCCGTGGGGAGCCCTCGGCTTGTTGTGATCTGTTGGAGTGTACTCTTTGATTTCTCGCTGAGTCTACTCCCCTTCACCCCCTCTTTTTTTTTCTTCTTTTTTTTTTTTTTTTTTTGGTTGGTGGTGAAGGGAAGGCATCAAGAAACTTGGTTTCTTGGTAAGGCTGGGCCTATCAGGAGACCATCAGAATACACCAATGGCTCTCCTCCCTCGGGTTAACCTTCCGAGTTCCGAGGGGATCGAGGGACGTTTCCTGGGCACAAGATATGGTGGTCCGTAACCTGCCTCCCCTTGGGGGATGGCGCGGAAAGCGCCTCATTTTTGAAAGTCGTCCCCTCGGCGCTAGACATAGTCCGTGGCCTGCCACACCCTTGGGGTGGTGGCGCGGGGAGCGTTTCGGTTTGGAAGTCGAATCCTGGGCATTTCTCGTGCCTGTCACACCCTTGGGGTGATGACGCGGATAGCGTTCCATTTTTGAAAGTCGAATCCTGGGCATTTCTCATGCCTGTCATACCCTGGGGGTAATGACGCGGAAAGCGTTTCAAGGAAGGGTTTTCATTTGCACACTAGTTGCAAATGGTCGGGGGCACTACGTGCCGCCGGCACCGATGGTGGCGCCTTCGGTATATGCGTCCTCGTGGGGTACGGCTTTTAGAAACAACACTTGGTGTTAGTTTTGATGTGTAGCCCCCGGTACTTGGTACCGAGGGGTCTTCTGTAGGAACACTTGGTGTTCTCTTTTGTTGTAGTTGATGTAGGCGTCTACCCTCGTTACTTGGTACCGAAGGGTCTTCAAATGAAACACTTGGTGTTTCCCAATAGATGTTTGGAAGTTGATAGGAGAGCATATCCCTGGCACTGAGTGCCGAGGGGTCTTCTTTGAAACATTTGGTGTTTTTCCTTCGTTTCGATGTTTGATGATGGAGGTGTACCCTCGGCACTGGGTGCCAAAGGGTTTTCTGTAGGAACACTTGGTGTTCTCATCTTTTCTTTTTTTTGATGTTGAAGGTGGGAATGTACCCTCGGCACTGGGTGCCGAAGGGAAATGAAACACATGGCGTTCCTTGTTGTTGGTGATAGGAGTTCCCTCCCTCGATACTTGGTACCGAGGGGTCTTGACGTAAAATACGTGGTGTTTTCACTGTTTGTTGTAGGTGTTGATGATGTCCGCCCTCGGCACTTGGTGCCGGAGGGGGTTCTTCTCGTGGTGAGGCCTGGGGCCTGTAGTCAGTATGAGGGCTTGATGTCTTGAATGTATCTTCATTCTTCGAAATTGGAGGCCTTGGGCCATAGGATAGTACATTCACTAGTTATGAGGGCTTGGCCGCTCTTACATTATTGATAAAATTTAACTAAATGGTGTACATTCCAGTGCCTAGGGACTTCTTTCCCATTGGGGCGTTTGAGCTTGTAGGTCCCAGGTTTGATGATGGCTGCTATGATGTAGGGGCCTTCGAATTTTGGTGCCATTTTTCCTCCCTCGGTTGGTTGGCTGGCTTCCCTCCTCCGGAGGACATAATCCCCCACTTGAAATTCTCGGGTGCGAACTTTGGCGTCGATGTAGCTTTTAACTTGCCTTCGGTAGTTTTCTGCCCGGATGAAGGCCTGCTCCCGGCGTTCTGAAATGAGGTGGAGGTCGAGGGCCATGTTGCTGTCGTTGACCTCGGGGTCATATTGGATCACCCTTCGGGTGGGAAGGGTGACTTCCGTAGGAGCTTTGGCTTCAAAACCGTAGGAGAGGGAGAAGGGTGTTTCACCTGTTGCTCGCCGAGGGGTGGTGCAATAGGCCCAAAGGATGTTGTGGAGTTCTTCCACCCAGCCACCTCCCTCGGCCTCTAGCTTCTTTTTTAGGCCTTCGAGCAAGGTCTGGTTGGCATTCTCTACTTGCCCGTTGCCTTGAGGGTAGGCAACGGAGGAGAAGGTGTGTTTGATGCCCCATGCCTCCAGAAGGGCACAGAAGGGGGCTGCCTCAAATTGTGTCCCATTGTCGGAGATGATCTGGTGGGGGACGCCAAACCTTGTGAGGATGTTCTTGAGGACGAAGTGACGGCACTTCGCCTCTGTGATGCTGGCGAGGGGTTCAGCCTCCACCCACTTGGTAAAGTAGTCGACGGCCACGATGATGTATCTGTTGTTGGAGGTACCCCTCGGCAGAGGGCCCACAAGGTCTATCCCCCATCGAGAAAAGGGGACAGAGGTGCTGATGGGGGCATAGTTGACCGCTGGCCTGCCGGGAGCTTTCTGGAAATGTTGACATGCGGTGCACCTCCGGGCAAGGTCAGCACAATCCCTGGCCATGGTTGGCCAGAAGTAGCCCTGGAGAATGAGCCTTCGGGACATGGAGAAGGGTCCCTGGTGAGCTGAGCAAGTGCCACTGTGCACTTCCTCCATTGCGACCTCGGCTTCATCTGGATGAAGGCACCGAAGTAGCGTGCCATTGTAAGATCGTTTGTAGAGCCTTCCATCTTCGATGGTGTAGCTGGGAGCCCTCAGCTTTGCTAGTTTAGCGCGGGCCTCATTTTCGGATAGCTGCCCTGTGGAGATGAAGGCGGTGATATCTGAGATCCAATCCTCCTGACGTTGTTGTATGTTCATAACGGGGCTTGCATGGATGCTTGAGAGGCCGAGTTCCTCGATTTTGGCAATTTTGGAGATGTGCTCGGGGGAGTCGGCCGAGAGCTTAGATAATATGTCGGCCTCGGAGTTCTGAGCCCTCGGTATTTGAGTGAGAGAGTGTGCCTCAAATACCTTAAGCAACTCCTTGGTCGCTTCCTTGTACTGTTTCATTCTCCCCTCCTTGGCCTCATATTCTTCGGAGATTTGGCCAACGACCAACTTGGAGTCGCATTTGATGTGGATCTGCCGAGCCCTCATGTTGGCAGCCAGCCGAAGGCCACATAGGAGGGCCTCATATTCGGCCTCATTGTTGGAGACCTTGAAGGAGAAGCGGATTGCATAGTAGGCCCTGAAGCCCTCGGGAGTAATGAGGACTACCCCTCCCCCGCATGCTTTGGTCGCGGAGGAGCCGTCAGTGTAGAGGGTCCACCAGTCGTCCGAGGTAGCCGAGGGCTCCCCGTCCGTGGCTGCCCTTGCGGTACACTCCGTCACAAAGTCCGCCAGGGCTTGGCCCTTGATGGCAGGCCTTGGGCGGATGTCAATGTTGTACTGGCTCAAGAAGATAGCCCATTTCACCATGCGGGAGGAGCTGGTGGGGCTCCTCATGAGGGCGCCGAGGGGTTGATGAGTGAGGACCTGAACCGGGTGAGCCTGAAAGTAGTGGCCCAACTTCTTGACGGTCCAAACGATGGCCAACACCGTTTTTTCCACAGGGGAGTACCTGAGCTCGGCCTCCCTTAGGGTCTTCCTAACGTAGAAGATGGCATGTTGGGTGCCGTCTTCCTCCCGAATGAGCACAGAGCTGATGGCCGCCGGGCTAACCCCAAGGTAGAGGTAGAGGGTCTCCCCTACCTTGGGTTTGGAGAGCACAGGAGGTGAAGATAGATACCGTTTGAGCTCGTCGAAAGCCCCCTGGCATTCTGGAGTCCATAGAAAGCCAGCCGTCTTCCTCATGATCTGGAAGAAGGGTAGAGACTTCTCCGCTGATTTAGATAGAAAGCGGTTGAGGGCTGCCAGGCGACCCGTCAACCGTTGGACTTCCTTCACATTGCGTGGGGGCTCCATGTTGATGATGGCCTGGATCTTCTCGGGATTGGCCTCAATACCCCTTCGGCTCACCATGTAGCCCAAGAATTTGCCCCCTTGGACGCCGAAGGTGCACTTCTTCGGGTTTAGCCGAAGGTTGAATTTTTGCATGATGGCGAAGATCTCCCGGAGGTCGTCAGCATGGCTGGAAGATTGTTTGCTCTTGACGATCATGTCGTCAACATAGGCCTCCATGGTGCGCCCTAGGACGGCTTGAAAGACCCGGGCCACCATCCGGGTGTATGTGGCCCCCGAGTTCTTTAGGCCGAAGGCCATCACTAGGTAGCAGAAGATGCCCTCGGGAGTCATGAAGGCAGTTTTTTCGGCGTCCTCCTCGTGCATGAAAATTTGGTGGTACCCCCGGAAGGCATCGAGGAAGGACATGATCTCACACCCTGCGGTCTCATCCATTAGTTGGTCAATGTTTGGTAGAGGGAATGGATCCATAGGGCATGCTTTGTTGAGATCGGTGTAGTCCACGCACATGCGGAAGGTAGGGGGCTTCTGTGCGAGGACTACATTTGCCAGCCATGAGGGGTATTTCACCTCCTTGATGTGCTTAATTGAGAGAAGCATGGCGACCTCCTTCTTCACGAATTCCCTCCTCTCGGCGGAGAGGGGTCTCCTTCGTTGTTGTACTGCTTTTGCCGAGGGGTCCACCGAGAGGCGGTGGGTGATGACCCTTCGGCTGATTCCCGGCATGTCCTCCGGCCCCCATGCAAAGACAGTGGAGTAGGCGCGGAGGGCGTCGGTGATACCGGTCTTCAGATCTTCAGGGAGCTGGGCTCCAATCTTCACGACTCTCTCCGGCTGGGCCGGATCGAGCGCAAAGTCTTCTACGTCCTCGGCCGGTTCAGCCCTCGGCCTTCTTTCCTCTTGGTCGATGGTTCCGGTGATGGTGTCAACACGGAATTCTGTCTTGCTCACCTTCTTAGTGACCTGAAGATAGCAGGCGCGGGCAATTTTCTGGTTCCCCCGGGAGTAGCCAATGCCCCCCTCGGCGGGAAACTTGAGGCAGAGGTGCCTCATGGAGATGATGGCTTCGAGGTCCTCGAGGGCTGGCCGGCCGAGGATGATGTTGTGGGCGCAGTCAATGTTGACGACGACGAACTCCACTTCGAGCTGGGCTCTATGGAGCCCGTCGCCGAAGATCACCGGGAGGGTTATTACCCCCTCGGAATCAATAGTATCGCCGGTGAAGCCGACAAGAGGGGTCTTAATGGGCCGAAGGGACCCCCTCTCCAGATGCAGCTCTCTGAAGGTGCTGAGGTACATTACATTGACGGAGCTGCCCGTGTCAATGTAAGTTCGGTGAATGATGGTGTCGTTTATCTCCGTCCGAATCACCAAGGCATCCCTGTGAGGAGAAGAAGTAGGAGGGAGATCTGCGTTGGTGAAGGTGATGGGTTCCTCCCTCAGTCTTTTTACCGGGGGCATATGAGTGACTTCCCCTACGTAAAGCGATTGAGCCCACTTCTTTCGCTGGCTGGTGGAATCGCCCCCTGTATTGCCACCGGTGATCATGAGGATGTGGCGTTTTTTCTCCTGGTAGTGGGGGTATTCCTCCTCCTCTTCTTCCAAATTCCCAATCTCCCTCTTCTTGCCGAGGGGGATGGTATTCGGGTTTACCCAAGCGTTCACCTTCGTGTGGTGCCCTCGGGGAGGCCCGTGATGAGAAGGTCCCTCCTGTCGAGGGCTCTGAACAAATTGGGACAGGTGCCCTGCTTGTATTAACCTCTCGATGGCTGTCTTCAGCTGATGGCAGTCATCGGTTCTGTGCCCCTGGTGCCGGTGGAAGCGACAGTAGAGGAACTGAGGGTTGATAGCGTGTACCTTCGGGGGTGCGCGAGAGTCGCGTTCAACGAGGCCCCTCTCCTCGGCAAAATCGAGGATGATGCTGACGGGGTGCGTCAATGGTGTCCGAGGGCGGTCCAGGAGAATGGGCTGTGCCCAAGTCTTAGGGTTGCTCTTATAACTTCCCTCGGGCTTGGCTTGGCCTTGCCGAGGGCGGTCATCAGAGGGTCCCGAAGTCTTGGGGTAACTTGGAGGAGCCCCCGGTCCTCGGTTATGTTTATTGTCAGCCCTCGGGGGCTGCTGGTCCGGATGCTGGTGATACTTCTCCACCTCCTCGGCTTCAGCATATCGGTCCCCCCGCTGCAAAGCCCTTATGTAGTCGCGGGGGGGTTCAATGATGAGGCTCCTTGAAAAGTTGCCGGTGCGGAGGACGGTTTGTAGGAGGGCCAGGAGGGTCCCGTCATCAGCACCGTCGACCTTGTCAGCCTCCGTCCTCCAGCGCTCTAGGAAATCCCGAAGGATCTCATCCTTCTTCTGGCGTATTGTTAGGAGGTGGGAGAAGTGCTTCCTTGTGCGACGCCTCCCGGCAAATTGTGTCAAGAATCGCTGGGCGAGTTCTTGCCATGAATCAATGCAGCCCTCGGGTAGCCTGTTGAACCACTCGTACGCCGGCCCCTCTAAGGTGCAGAGGAACCAACGACACAAATATTCGTCTGACGCCCCCACCATCATCATGATGTTCTGGTATTTGCTGTAGTGTTCCTGGGGGTCCGTTTTCCCGTTGTAGGGCTGGATGTGTTGCCCTCGGTATTTCTCCGGGATCCGGGCCGCCAATACCCTTGGGGTAAATGGGGTCCGAGTCCGGAGCTGGATGACGGGTTCCCCGGAGCCCTCGGCCACCTTCTTCTGTAATTCCTCCATTTTGGCCATCATGGCCTCGTATTTGAGGTCCGAGTGAGGGGCGGAGGTGGTGGCGTGAGCTTTGTTGGACTCCATCTCGTCAAGCCGGCGTTGGAGGGCCGCGATAATCTCGTCCCGGGGATCCTTCGGGAGGGTCTCCGCCCCCTGCGAACGAACCCGGGCTGAGTGGGCCTGGTTGATTTGGTGGCGAGCATCATTGGCATGAAGGGGTGCCTTGCCTTTGTCCCGAGGGGGACGCTCCTCGTCTGCCCTCGAAACAGATCCCCCGCTTTCCTGGGGCCTTTGGAGTGCTTTCCCCCCGAGGCGGTCTTGGACCCCTCGGCGGTCTGGCCCTCCTCCGAGCCGGTTGAGGGTGGAAGTACGGGGTCTTTCCCTGTTGTCATTATGGCGGTCCCGGGACTGAACTTCCTGGGAGGACGTATCTTGGGCCACCACCCCTTCGTCGTTCCTCACCCGAGGGGTGAGATTTCCGAAGGGGTGTGGCAGAGGGGGAAGTATGATGTTTTCCCCAACCTGAGGGTGAGCTGGAGCTAGGGTGCCGAAGGCACCCGGGTTCTGGGTGAGCGTTTGGATGAAGGCGGAGAGCACCGATTGCACGTCGATGGTGAGAACCGGAGGGCTGACTTGGTCATCGCTCCGGTTTTTCTTCTTGGCCTCGATGCCGAGGCGGGCATCGGGGGCATTTTGTTGGATCTGAAGGCGTAGGTCGACAGCCGCCTGTTCCAGCCCAGCGATGACACCGCTCTCGGGAGCCCTGTGAGAGGCTTCGGGGGCGTTGACGTCGCCGAGGGCCAGGTTCTTGTCTTCTACGTTTTTGGAGTTGGCACGTGTTGTTCTCACCATTTTGATAGAGGGCTAGTGTTTTGTGTTTGGTCGAGGGGGGGGGGGGGGTTCTTACTTGATTGTTCGACCTCTCAACGAGAGCACCAAATGATGGATAGTCTACCCGGGGGTATATATCCGAAGGGTTATTACGGGGAACAACTTAGAGAGAAGTCAGAGCAAGTAAGTGAAAGTAGAGAGAGAGAGAGAGTATTGAGTATGAATGCCGTTTTCAGCGTGGTTACAAATGAGGAAATGGGGTGCTATTTATAGTAGCAATAAATGCCGGGCAGGGACACGTGTCAAGCGCTCATTGACCGAGGGGTCACCTCAACTGGTTGGCGCTGGCAGCCGCATGTGGCCGCATTTAATGCGGCTGTTGGATGGGACGTCTGTGCGGGGTACGGTGATCTGTACGCATGTGAGGCGGATATCTTGTCGAGTGAGATGCCTTCGGCTATAGAGCAGTAGCCGAGGGCTCGTCCACCCGATGGCACCCTGGTGCCGAGGGCTCACAGTGCCGAGGGCTACTGTTTTCGCCGTTTTCTCCCAGTTTCTTAATTTGCTTGAGAAACCCGTTCTGTGAGAATTTAGAGCCTTCGGCCAGGGGGCCGAAGGCACCCCTGGCGCGTAGTGCGGGCTGCTTGGTACTCTGGGCGCTGTGATTTGGGCCTGTTGGACCTTCTGGGCCTGTTGGGCCTCTAAAGGAGTAGTAGGAGTCTGTGGGCCGGGTGTTCCCGGGCCATATACTCCATCAATTTTCATTTTGTACTCGGTAAAGATAAGTAATACGTAGTACTACGTACCATCCTCCGTTCCATAAAAGTTGCAACAATTTGACTTTCATGTTTTCCAACGCGCAACTTTGACTGTAATTATATTTATTTACGTATTAGTAAACATTAAAAAAAATTAATATATTGGAAATTTACAATAATACAAATTTATTAATATTTTATACATAATATTTTTATTATATACTCCCTTCGGTCCTTAATGAAGTTTATACTTTGACTTCAGACATAATAAAGAAATAAAATTGACTTTACTGTAGAGTACACTATTTGACACTGTTTGACACTGTTTGGTATAGATTTGTTTGCCAAATAAGACAAATAAGGAAGTGTAATGTTTAATATGGGACGACCCAAAATGGAAAGTGTAAAGTTAATTAAGGATCGAAGGGAGTATATTATTGGAAAATCGTAGGTAAAGTAAGATGTGTGAATAGTGCATAAATTCCAATATTGCAACTTTTATGGAACAATTCTAAGAAATTCTCTAAAAATTGCACTAAAAATAGAAGTATTAAATTAAATGCATTAAATGCGCCTGAATCCCAAATGGCAAATTCTTATTCACCTTTGCGATTCACCTCTCTGCTTCCCCTTCCTACTTCAACGGGAGCACCAGCGGAGACAACACTGACGGCGTCCACCTCCTACAACGACGGTGAGTCGGTGATGAAGCTCTTTGATGATGAAGGTGTTTGTTCTCGATGACAACTCTATCAGGAGCTTTTGCATCGACGTCGATATGGAAACGATTTTCGTCGTTCAATTCTGGGACATTCTTCTTTGATCCAGCGAATATGAGCTCCAATTTGGCAGGTTGCAATGATCTGGATTTTTTGCTACGGGGGAGCAGGGCAGAGGTTGGTGCAATGGATGGCGGTAGGGGGCAAGAGTTGGGGAGTTGCAGGAAAAGGGGGTGGGGAGTGGCGGGTTGCGAGGGGCATGGGTTGGTATGCGAGATGCAAGAGTAAAATTTTAATAAAAAATTTTGTATTATTATTATCTTACAATTATGATACATGATACTTTTGAAACCTATGTAGCACCGATACCGGTACGCGGAATCGCGGAAACGCGAACACGGGTACGGGGATACGGCAAAACAAAAAAAGTAGGATACGGATACGAGGTCATATTCATAAATATTAAAAGTTATGGGGGTGTATTTACAAATATCAAAAGTTACAGGGGTGTATTTATAAATATTAAAAATATATTTTTTTTGGAAATATATACATATAATATCCTATGAAATATACAAAAAAAAATAATTTTTTGGATATATATATCCTATATATACATATATACCCATTCATTACATATATATCATATTATTTCTAATATACACTAGTGCATCTCGAAATATAAATGTAGACATGTAGTCGATAAGTCATTAATTTAAAATGAGAAATAAGTCAAACAACTACAATCTTGAAATTAAAAGTGCAAGTACCAAAGTTCTAGAATAATTAAGATAGAAAACAATATTTTAAAAGCACTAACTTCTACTCCCTCCGTCCCCCTATTATTGTCTCATTTCTTATTCACTTGTTCAAAACAAATCACTCTTAATCTCTTACTTTATTTATCAAATTTTTATCAAATTTGATTCTGGTTTTTGCGACTTTGTAAACCTTTTAATGTAGTAATATATATTTTTACCGGAAGTATTAATTTCCAGGAATAATATCATCTTCCAAAAAAACGGATTCCAATACTGGGTTAGAGATAGGCTTCTGGACTTGCTCAGTAAATTAGATACGGAGTATGAGTTGATGACTTGATTGAGTTGATTCAGATATACCATATAAGCCCATTATTTGATTACCAAGTAAAATTTTGTTTTAGATTTTCATTTTTTTTAGAATTTTATTAAGTAAATTTTGGGTTTTTTTTATTCAAAAAAGTTGATACGGATATCCGTCAGGATATGAGTATCGGAAACTTTCAAAAAATTACAAAAAAATGGAAACTTTTAAAAATTACAGATACGGCCCGGGAACGTACGGTACGAGTATCCTAGAGTATCGGATACGGGAACGTATCCGATACGCTGATACGCGACCCTAGGGAAGTATCCGTGCTTCATAGTTTGAAACAAATGCAATGTGAAAATGCATTTGTAATAAATACTAAAAACTCCAAAATTAGAAGTGTCTAATCGCAATTTATCATAGCATAAGGATGGTAAATAATATTACAATGGAACTGTATTACCCCCAAATACTTGTATATCTTAGATAGAAAATTTTCCACTTTTGGTCCCTCGAGTATTATACCACTTCCGCATTACGTACCTGACTTTCAACTTGTCCACATTTAGTCCCGACGTTTTCTTCCTTTACCATCCGTCGTCCTTCCGACCAAAACTCCGGCCGGTTGAATCATTTATTAAAAAAGGGAAGGTTAGTCTAGTAATTTCATAGACTGGTCTTCACTTCTTCCTCGCCAACTCCATCTGTATCGTAACCACCCCTTCTTTAATACCTCTTACATTATCCATCATTTAAACCTAAATCTCCAACGACAACCTCTGTGAGCTCCCTGTTCACTCCAACGACAACTCCATCTATAGTCCGTTGTTTTCCTCCTTCGTAGGCACTCCTCCCTGTTCACTCCAACGACAACCTCTGTAAGCTCGAAGGCCACCATGTATAGCAGCAGTTCAACTACCTCGAAATCAACAAGCCGGTATGAATATGGAGAGTGGATTCCGATCAAACATTGTCAATGTGGGAAAGAATTGAAGCTTTTGACTACATGGAAACCAGAAAACTGTGGGAGAAGATTTTGGAAATGCGTTGGAAATGAGGTATTAGTAGCATGGTGCAGCTTTAAAATTTTCCATATTTTTTGAGATGATTGATTTTGTAAGTATTTGTATTATGTGATTGCAGTGGTCTGAAGGGTGTGGTTTGATGGACTGGTTTGACCCTCCAATGTGTAAAAGATCCAAGAAAATCATTCCAGGGTTGTTAAGAAAACTGAATGGATATGAAAACCACATTCACACATTGGAGATGAAGCTGGAAGCAGCTGAGAAACCAGAAAACGAAAAAGATAAGATGGAGAAGATAGAGCACAAAAGATACTCTTGCAGCAGACTGGGCGTGTGCATTATAACATTTTTTGTGGTTTTTGCATCCATGTATGCACATAGAAAATAGTCTTGTAGCATGGTTTTTATGTATTCCGAACAATTTTGAGGAATGTTAGTAATATCTTTGAAATGTATTGATGCCAAATGTTCATGTTGATGACATGTATATATGAAGTTCTTTTGCATATTCAATGTTACAACTGTTGTGTTACATTATAATCTGGAAAACATGGTTCACTACAAACACACTTAACTTGAAACATATACTATGGTCACTAAAAGAACTGAATTACAAACATAATCACACTGGTATATCATCCCATTGAAAATAAACATAAACAACATGTCATATCTCCTGGTGGGCAAACAGAATTACAAACATAGACACACTAAAATTACAGTCATAGCAAATGTTTTGTACTTCCAAAACAACCACCATTTACACATAGCAACCTGTAACATCTCCTGGTGGGCAGAAAACATAGTGATAACTACACTGAAGTTCATGGTACAACGAACACTACAATAAAACCTACAGCAAAATGGAAGCCCCTACAGTCCTTTCCAAATGATTGACATCAAACACTAGCCAAGGTCAATTGGGTCTGCATCATTCCCAAAAAAACAGACTTGAAGGTCGTTTTGGATCTGGTAGAATAGGTTGGTCCTTTTTTTATGTCAAGTTTTTTGAGTTTTGGTTTTCCATGTCCTGAGTTCACCCCTTGTGGTTGTGCACCTTTTGAACTGAAAGTCTTAGAAGGAGGGGCTGGTCCAAAGCTTATCCTGACCCCATGAGTATTTCTTTGCTCAAACCCATGGGTGTTGTCTTTGTCAACATCATCAATCTTGTTTTCATCAATAGCATCACTCTGGTTTGCAGCACTATCCTGACTTTGGGTTTCAGTCCCTTCTCCAGTCTCTCTTTCATCTTCTTGGCCACTTAGTTTTTCAGCTTCTTGGTCACTCACTTGAGTGAACATTGAAGTATCTTCCACTGAAACAACAATAGGAAACTCAAGTCCTAAAGATGGGAAGTCTTCATATTGCATATTGATATCCATAAGGTTGTCCTCATCTAAAGCAGAAACCTTGGGTGCTCCCACATCCTCATTACCAGCACTTTCACCAACACTTCCTCCACTATGCCTTGGTGCAGATTTTGGTTTTCTTTTTCTAGGTTGAAGCTGTGTGTAGAAAAAATATAATGGTTAAAGAAAAATAAGATGAAGTACATATAAGTCCTAAATAAGTAAATGACATAAATAACATAAATCATGAGTGTATTTACCAGTTTCTCTTTGTTATTTGGATCTTCAGGACACCTCCTTGCATTATGGCCTTCTTTTCTACACTTTGAACAATGCATCTTGATGTGTGTCCTTGCTACTCTCACTCCATCATTGCTTAGATCCACAACTGATTTCCTCCTCAGTTTTTTTGGCCTTCCGGGCTTGGCTGAATACACAGGAGGAAGTGGGGGAATTTTATCAGAAATAGGCCACTCATCTTTGCCTGCCATTGGCTTTATACTGCCAGCATATATCTTCAAATATGATTCTTTTGTGTAACATGGGTGTACGTAAGCATCGACTGGACCTCTTCCATACTTCAACCAAATAGCACACACAGCATGCTTGCATGGTATACCAGTTAAGTCCCACAGCTTGCATGTGCATATTTTCCTCTCTAAATCAACCCCATGTTGTGTACCACTCATTTCAGTAATCTCAAAGTCATTCTCACCACACTGATACCCTATTAAACCTGCAGCTAACTTCTCAATTTCTTGTGACTTTTTCACAATTCTAGGGCACAAATTAGTAGTCCATTTCTCTGCCTTTTGTCTACTAGTAAAAAATTTTGTGACCAGTAGCTTCCTAATACTTTCAGAACATACTAAAATAGCCTCTTGCCTTGCCTCTAAAATGACCCCATTCAAACACTCACATATATTATTAGTTAACATATCTGTTTTGGAGTGTGTAGAGAAATGAGACTTGGACCATTCTGTAGGATTTTTATCTGCCAGCCAATCAAAAGCCTTTTCATCAATTTCCTTTAACTTGGTCAGACTTGTTTTGAAAGAATTCACTGTACAATCCCTGGCACAGTCCCAAAGTGCATCTTTCACAGCTTTTCCATGAAATCCAGCCACCTTCATGTTCCCATGTAGATGCCTAACACAGAACCTATGTTCAACCATGGGAAATAATTCATTAACAGCTCCACTATCATCAACTTCTTCTAGGTCCTTCTCACTATAAGCAAAATCACTATCTGAGAGGTCCTCATCTGTATCTCCATTATCATCAACTTCTTCTAATTCTATCCACAACTCCACAATTTTACCCACACTGCCATTACTCACAAAGGACCAGATTTCAGAGTCACCTTTCAGTTCATTTAGTGAAGAATTTGAATAGCAAAAGACTCTTCTTAACTTCTTTGTGCAACCAACTTCTTCTAGTTTCTCTTTCAACACAATTAAGCCAAACTCATCCACATCTACATCAGAAAACAAATGTGTAGTACCTCCTGTTGTATATGTTGTTTTGTTGATGACTAACCATGTAGGTGGAATGGCGGACAGAACTACTCTCAGGTCCATTAGGAACGAGAATTGGAACTATACTTAGTTCTGATCTATATGAATGATTGTTGTGCATAATGAATAACAAAATATGAGCCTGCATGATAATACCTCATCTACATGCTTAGATTGATCATGCATATTCTTAATATACGTGGCACAAGTTAAATATCTTTCCGTATATGACTAAGCACTCACCTCTATGAGTTGGCCTATATATCTTATGGAAAGAATCATTATTAATGCTACATAAAAATCCACTATGTTAAGAATCCTGCACAAATCGACCGTAGCATATTTAGATCCACTAAGTAAACATTTCCTTATCACTTAATGCTACTAAGTCATTATATTATGGAAAGTATCTTGGGTTGCATGTTCTGTAGCACCTTATTTGAATACCTTACTTATATGATCGTTACATATTCTTGAGAACTAATCATTAATTATATAAATATGTTGATTGCTACATAATGTCCGTTTGATGCTTATATTAGGAGAACAAAATATTCTCCTTATATGTGATACGTAATATTCTCCATATCTGTTTTATTATTGAATGATTTACTCATAATATACTTCCATATTTATATGGTTGACCGAGGATCACCATAATTGTGAGCCGGAAGATCTTTGAATAAAAGGAAAGACGAGGCTACGGATGCTATATATATTGGACAAAGGACCGGACGAAATGTGTGCTTGACCGAGCTTATATTGAGAAATATACACGAGAATATTCACTAAGTCCAAGGCACCTGAACCTGCTCACGGAGTTCCAGACAGAGTTTCTTTTTCCCTTCTTCATATTGTAATTGGGTTTTTTGAGGATTGACTAAGTGTAGCATCCTCGGGTTGATTAGTGTGTTGTGAGAGCTTTGTTGTAAAGCTGAGAGGCTCTCTACCCGCAAGGTAGAGATGCATAACTCTTTCTAGAGAGGATAGAGTTGGGGTGGCTCAAGGGTAGACTAGGAGAGTTTCCCTTGTAATCATTCAAAGGCTTTTTAGTGGAGTTGTTCAAATTCCTCCGAGGGAGGTCGAGGTTTTTTAATCCCGTTGAGCCAAGGGATTTTTCCTCGTTAAATCCTTGTGCACTTTACTATTTCGTAATTCCCTGGACCCCACACTAGAACTGTGCGAAAAACTGCCACGGTTCCACACACACACACAATTCACCCCCCCCCCCCCCCCCCCTCTTGTGTTGCTAACCGTTTCATCAATTGGTATCAGAGCCGGTCTTCGCCACATAAAGGTTAATACCTTGGGAAGAGATCCAGCAGCATGAATACGGTTGAAAGATTAGAGGAAGGGTACTCGACTCAACGACCACCGTTGTTCAACGGCAAATTTTACCAATTCTGGAAGAGTCGAATGGAGAACTTCATCAAGGCTGAGAACTACCAGGTATGGAACGTAATTGAAGTAGGCGATAACATCATTACAAAAGAAGATGCCGAAGGTATGGTTATCCCTAAACCCAAATCTGAATATACCTCTGATGATTATTGTAAACTCGAGCATAATGCTCAAGCATTGAAATATTTGATTTGTGAACTTGGTCCGGCTGAGCACAACCGTGTTCTTGGATGCAAATCCGCAAAACAAATGTGGGATCTACTTGAGATTACGCATGAGGGTACCTCGCGTGTAAAAAGATCCAAAATTGACATATTTATGCGTAATTACGAATTATTCGTGATGAAGCCTAAAGAATCAATTAGGGATATGATTACACGTTTTACTAATATTATCAATGAGCTCTCAGCACTTGGAAAAGATATTACTGTAGAAGATCAAGTGAGAAAAGTTATGAGAAGCCTACCATCCGCATGGAAGCCTAAAACTACAGCAATAGAAGAAGAACAAGATGCTAGAAGACTTGACTGGCTCACTCATGACCTATGAGCTAGGCCTACAAGAAGAACAAGATGCCGAAAATGTGAGAAAGGAGCGAGGAATAGCTCTCAAGGCTCGAGAAGAAGAAGAAGAATCCGAAAGTGAATCGGAAGACGAAATGAGCATGTTCGCCAAGCAATTCGGGAAGATGTAGCGGAAATTCAAAGGCAACCGAAATAAGCAAGGTAAAAAGGGTTTTCAATCGTTTAATAACCAAGGTTGTTTCGTTTGCGGTTCCTTTGAGCACAGGGCAAAAGATTGTCCCCAAAAGAAAAATGATAGAACCTACGACAAGAACAAGACCAGTTCCCATCGGAAGTCCAGTGAAGATAAAGGGTTCAACAGAGACCTCAAGATGGCAATGATGGCAGCCTGGGGAGACTCATCCGATGATGATGAGGAATAAGGTGAAAAGAGTTCCAATCATGCAGGATTGTGTCTTATGGCTAATTCCGACGAGGAATCCGACCAAGAGAGTTTCGAGGTAAATTTGGAAAACTTTCTATCTAAGTTTGATTCTTTGCCTAAAACCAAAGTTCGGAAAATTTTTAAGAGGCTAACTATCGAGCTTAACCAAAACCTTTCTGAAAATGAAAATCTAAAATCACAAATCACTGAGCTAGAATCTAAACTCGAGGAAACCACACGAGCAAAGCTAAGGCTTGAAACTAGAGTGGGAGAGTTAATAGATGAGAAGCTAAAATACAGTGAAGTGGTTTTAGAACAAGACAATATTATCTGTTCTTTAAAGCTCGATAGCATGAACCAACAAGTTGATCAAAGTGAGAAACTTCTTTCGAAAATTCCGAACATTGGTGTGATGATTGAACACCTTAATCGCCTTGAGGCTGAGAGACAGGATTTCAAAAATAAGCCGGAATACCAGCCGTATAGTACTAAAGAAAGAACCAGGTCTAGACCCTATTCTAGAACTGAACCTTCTCGGTACAAAAGAAAGGAAAACGAGATTGCGGGTCTCGGATATGTTCCAAGGAAAACTCAAATAAATCAAAAATCTGGTTTTCAGAACCAATCCTTTAATGGTAACAGAACTAGAGGACAAACCAGTTCCAGGCCATACCAAAGGCAATCTAGAACTGGACCAACCTGGTTCGATAAATTGGTTCAAAGGCACAAAACTGATTATGGACAAACACCTAACCGAGAGTTTCATAAAAGGGACAAAGATTTTTATGGAAATTGGAAAACCAAATACGTTGATACATATGATAGTCGAATTTGCGGGCATTGTGGCAAAGTCGGTCATCTTAGGTATCAATGTCACTCTCGGCAACAGGCCTTAGAAAGGAACTTTAATTATAGTAATTATTCTTCAAACAATTACAAAATGGAACCCAAGCAGGTCTGGGTTCCACGCACTAAACCTTAATCCTGGAACAGCGCCGAGTGAGGGGGAACAACCACTGGTTCCTTGACAGTGGGTGTTCTAAGCACATGACGGGAGATAAATCATTATTCCTCTCACTTCGGCCATTTAGCGGTGGAAGGGTGACATTTGGAGACAACGGTAAAGGAGAAATAATTGCCGTGGGAAAAGTTGGAAAGTCACCTAACCATGCAATTGACAATGTCTTTCTAGTCAAGGGTTTAAAGTTCAATTTGCTAAGTATTTCTCAATTTTGTGACCGAGGTAACAGTGTAGTTTTTGATCATAATGTATGTCGCATTGTTAATAACGAATCACAACAAGTTATACTAGAGGGCAAGAGACTAGAAAATACTTATAAGGTTGATCTTGATTTATTGCCAAATATAAGTTTAACTTGCCTGAGCGTTATTGACAATGATCCCCTGCTATGGCATAAAAGACTTGGACACGCTAGTTTTTCTTTAATAAATAAACTCAAAAATAATGATTTGGTAATTGGGCTACCTAATATAAAATATTCACTTGAT